TTTTTTAACATTTTATTAGGGGCTCATACAACTGTTATCCCAATCCATACACACATCCATTGTGTAAAGCGCATTTGTACATCGTTTCTCAAAACATTTTCTCTCCACTTAAACCCCCGACATTAGGTCCTCATTTTTCCCCTCCCTCCCCGCTCCCAAGAAACAGTTCTAACAAAGCCTCCAGGTATGCCCTTTCATCGGAGAAAACACTTTTGACACCCCGCGATTAAGGGAAATTCTACAGCTCCCTCACCAGCCTGAGGAACTCCTAGCAAGTGGACATCAAGGTAGCAGGGAGATGAGCACCTTTTAAGTTAGAACCCAGGAAGGTCTGCCTGGCTCTGCTCTGGGTCCGGCCCTGGAACCAGTCGTCTGCAGAGGAGGCAGCCCTTGAACGCAGCCAGGACACCTAGTTGACAGGCAGACCCCACTCTGAGCCCTTCACACTGACAACGTGGTGTACGCCCACAGCCAGCCTGTGCACACAACAGGTCCTGACCTGCCCCGGAACAGCAGGTGGTCTGTGAGAACTGGGCGTCTCATCCAGCTCTGTCTCCGTCCTGCCATTGCATTCACGGTCTCTGAGGCCGTTCACAAACCAGGACGTACCCCCAGGGGCACTCGAAGATTTTCTCAGCAGAACACCTTGTGCGGTCAGTCGTTTAAAAGCACTCATAGTCCAGGTCCTGGACCCCATGTGTTATGTCTTTCCTGTTGTGCTGCCTCCTGTGGAAATGCCATGCCAGGTAACGTCTCCCCACCAGCCCTGAAAAAGTCCCTGCCTGCCAGTTCTCTGAGCGTGACCGATCCGCTCACTCCATACTGTAGGGCACCAGGCTCAGGGGCAAGTTACAGTTCATAAGTGTCCCCAAAGCCTCCTTTGATCCAGACCCCACACACCACCCAGGCTTCTCATTAAGAGATGCATTTTTCAATGTAATTTTAATTTGTTACTTAATGTCTTAAACTTGTAAATGTTTGTTGTGTTAATAATATCTTTTGTCCCACCCACAGTGTAATGAGAAGTCCATCAGGAGGAATATATATATATTACTCTGATTTCTTGGTTACAGTAAATTTTTAAAAGTTTAACCTGATAGACATTTTTTTTTCCCAGAAATGTGATAAGGTCACTAATAATGCCTTTTAGGCCTAAATAAATTAGGATCAATTCTGTGGAGGAAGTAGCATGAATATGTTCCAAGTGATACAATTGGTTTGAAATCCTATGCTCTGGCAACTGTGTCCTTTTTGAAACTATTTAAACTTAGGGTGAGAAACTTTTTAAAATCATTTTATTGGGTCCTCGTACAGATATTATAACATTCCATATATATCAAGCAAACTTGTACCTATGTTGCCATCGTCATTTTCAAAACATTATCTTTCTACTTGAGCCCTTATGATCAGCTCCTCTTTTTTCCCCTCCCTCCCACCCTCATGAACCCTTGATAAATTACATATTATTATTTTCATAACTTAAATCGTTTGCTGTCTCCCTTCACCCATGTTTCTGTTGCTCGTCCCCAAGGGGTGGGGGTTGTTATATGTCCATCATTGCTACCCAGTTTCCCCGAAAATAAGACCTACTTACAGTTTTGCCTCTCACTGAAATATAAGGCATCCCCCCGAAAATAAGACCTCCCCCAAAATAAGCCCCCCTAAAGCTACCATAACTCTGGACTCTGGACCTTAGCAGTGGGCACTGCTGCGCAGCTCACTGTTGGCAGTAGCACAGCTGGAGCAGACTGGAAGTGTGAGGTCTCTTAATAAAACCCTAAACAATAAATGTGTACCGTATTCTTCTTCATGGAAAAATAAGACATCCCTAAAAATACGACCTAGTGCATCTTTGGGAGCAAAAATTAAGACACTCTTATTTTTGGGGAAACGGTATTGGTCTCCTCCCCTCATATAGTAAAATGTTTGTTAACAATGTGTGAAGGGGCCCGCGAGAAGCAAGGAAGGCTTATTTCTCTGCCTGTGGTACAGGACAGAACACACACACCACACCATACCCCTCCCCCCACTGGTGGTGCAATGGTTAAGGGATCCTCTGTTAGCCAATTCATCCAGAGGTAGATGCAGCTTCTACTTCCCTAGTAAAAAGGTACCACCTCAGAAGGAGGGGGCAGTTGTAGTCCCCCCTAGGTCACTGAATCAGGATGGCCTCGGTGGCCATGGGCTTGCTGCTGTTAGTTTCTGCTGAGGTATGTGGTCATAAACCCATGTGATTTAGAATCTGGAAGGACCCTTACCATCTAATCCAGTGATTCTCAACCTTCCTAATGCCAGGACCCTTTAATACAGTTCCTCGTGTTGTGGTGACCCCAGCCATAAAATTATTTTCATTGCTACCTCATCACTGTCATTTTGCTAGGTCACGACCCACAGGTTGAGAACCGCTGATCTAATCCATCTCCATCAGTTCTATAGGTGAGGGGAAGTGAGCTGGCTTTCCCAAAGTCATAGGTTGGTCTCAGAACCTGGTGCTTTTGCTTGCTCATCCTTTGCAACGACTCCTTCACGTGGTCCCCCACTCCACTCCCAAACCCCATGGTCAGTTGTGAAGGAAGACAAAAAGTGGTCTCAAAACAGTCCCCTGAAAAGCAGGGACTTCTTGGCCAGGTTCCTTTTTCTCCTGCTGCTTCAGCCCCAGAGGCCAGCCTGGGAGGACAAGGCTTCCGCAGGACCCCTTGAGACCTCAGGGTAATTGATTGGAAGACTGAAGTTTAGACCCCGTCACTTTAGGAGGGAACCCAGTCCTGAGGGCTCTTCCCGGGCAGGGAGCCACCATCCTCTCCCAACAGCACTCCTTCTTTGAGACCTTGGATTTAGTCGTCTTTAAGAAATGTAAAAGTGTGACACCGAGTTCACTGTGCAGTCGGTCTACACAACAGCCCTGGGGCTAGACTGCCCCAGGAAGCCCCATCAGACCGTACAGGAGCTGGGGCCGGACCACACCTGGGCCCCAGGGACTTGAGTAGGTAGGTACCCCTGCTGATGCGCCTCCCACCAGCTGAGGTGGGCACAGCACCACACACACAACGAGCCCTCTGGGTCCTGGCAATGGTAGGCTCTTGTGCTCAGGGGCCGGGACCAGACAAATGTTGAGACCAATAGAGATGTTTCCATAATGACGTCTAAGATGTGGTTGGTTTTCTCTTTAGGATCCCCGATTTCACCTGTGGCGCAAGCCCACAGAAAAAAGGGAGGGAGAGGCGGTGATTCTTGACCAACTGCAGGCAGACGCAAGTAGGCTGTGGACAAGGGCAGCCCTGGGCAGTAGGCTTGGCTGTCAGACGTGAGCATAGAGCTGAGGACACAGACCCAGGGGGTCACGGGGACACAGGCCACTCTCAGAACACACAGGAACCACACACCCAAGGCCTGCTGACGTGGTACCCCTCCACCTTGGCCCCTTACTGCCCCCCGCCCCTCTCCCCTGCCTGCCAGCTGCTAACAGGCCTCTGCCCTGTGTCTGCCACACCTGTCACTGCCTGTCCCTGTCCAGGGGGCCCATCAGCCCCTCAGCTACCCAGCGGAGCAAGCAGTTCGTGGGGAGGGGAGGGAACATGGAGCGGGGGCCGGTGGTAGGGTCAGGGGCGGGGGCCCGGATCCGGGCCCTGCTGGGCTGCCTGCTGAAGGCGCTGCTCTGGCTGGCCTCTGCCTTGCTGTACTTTGGAAGCGAGCAGGCCGCCCGCCTCCTCGGTAGCCCCTGCTTACGGCGCCTCTACCATGCCTGGTTGGCGGCAGTGGTCATCTTTGGGCCCCTTCTACAATTCCATGTCAACCCGCGGACTATCTTCGCCAGCCACGGCAACTTCTTCAACATGTGAGTCCACGCAAGGCCATGGGAGCCGGTCCCCGCACTCCAAGAGCCCAGCTCCCCCTTGCCAGCCAGGCTCTGACACCCTGCCAGGCCGGCCAGCAGCTAAGAATAGATCAGAAGGTTGCAGGGAAGGTCAGGGAGGGGGAAGGGAAGAATGTCCTGGGGTGCTGGACAGCGGGAACCCGAGCAGGGTGAGAGAGGAAACATGGACCCTAGAAGGCTAAGGGGGCTGCCAAGGAGATGCTGATGTTCAAATGGGTGGCGGTCGTGGGAATGGAGCGGGTGAGGACAGAGGCCTAGCAGAGGTGGGGACACCCGCCACATCCCTCAGGGTGATAGGCTTGGCACACCCATCTCAGTACCCTCCTTCCTCTCCCCACAGAAAATTCGTGAATTCAGCCTGGGGCTGGACGTGCACCTTCCTCGGGGGCTTTGTGCTGCTGGTGGTCTTCCTGGCCACCAGGCGAGTGGCCGTGACCGCACGGCACCTGAGCCGCCTGGTGGTGGGGGCAGCGGTGTGGCGGGGGGCTGGCCGGGCCTTCCTTCTCATTGAGGACCTGACGGGCTCTTGCTTTGAGCCTCTGCCCCAGGGACTGCTGCTTCACGAGCTGCCCGACCGGCGCAGCTGCCTGGCTGCCGGCCACCAGTGGCGGGGCTACACCGTCTCCTCGCACACCTTCCTGCTCACCTTCTGCTGCCTGCTGATGGCGGAGGAAGCAGCCGTGTTCGCCAAGTACCTGGCCCACGGCCTGCCTGCCGGCGCCCCACTGCGCCTGGTCTTCCTGCTGAACGTGCTGCTGCTGGGCCTCTGGAACTTCCTGCTCCTCTGCACCGTCATCTACTTCCACCAGTACACTCACAAGGTGGTGGGGGCCGCGGTGGGCACCTTCGCCTGGTACCTCACCTACGGCAGCTGGTATCATCAGCCCTGGTCCCCGGGGAGCCCTGGCCACGGGCTCTTCCCTCGCCCCCAAGCCAGCCATAAGCATAACTGAAGAAATAAAGGCACAGCAGGCCTGCTACGGGCTCATCTCCTCATTCAGTGTCTGGAGAGAAGGGGAAGCCATAGGAAGAGGGTCTGGTAGTCTTGGGAGTTCTCAGTTCTAGTCTGTCACTCACCATGGTGAACACCCTTCCTTACCTTGACCTCTACACCCCCCGCCATCCTGTCAGCCTCTTACCCTGGGAGACTTCTGGTGCTTCCTGAGGACGAGGAACTTCACTGTGAAGGCAGGCCATGGTCCCCTTTGGTGCTGGCCACACCTAATCTGGGCAGATGCTCCAGCCCAACCAGGTGGTTTGGGTTTCCTTGCCTCTCCCACTACACACCGGGCTGTTCACCACAAGGTCAGCAGTTCAAAGCCACCAGCCTCTCAGTGGAACAAAGACAGGGCTTTCTACTCCCATAAAAATTAGTCTCAGGGTCACTGAGTCCTCATCTACTCATTGACAGTGATTTAGTGATTTTTTTTGGCAGTGAGCCTCCCCCACTGGGTCTCTCCCCCACCCCTGGGCCCTGCCCATCTGAGCACCTGGCTCGGGGCCCTATCAGACCTGGTCCTCCCAGAGGGCATCTGGTATGCTCATTTATTACACATATCTATTCTAGCCCAACATATAACCACTTTCCCACCTGGTCTCCTTCCCAGCGGGAAATAGAGCAGGTGACTAGCCCCACCCACAACAGCCGTGAATGACCTAGACCAGGACTTGGCAGCCTGCGGCTCTCCAGCCATACATGCTCTGAAGTCATTCGGAAAACGTTAAAGGGTTTTATTCAGGTCATGGTGATTTCATTTGTTGGTAAAACTATGTTTATGGCTCTCAAATAACTTTTAAACTGTTGTGAGGGACAGGACTGGCTCTTCTGTTTGGAAAGTCTGCCCACCCCATGATCTAGAAAATCCCCAAGCCCATGAGGGTTGAGTCACTCCGACCCATGGAGACCTTATGGACAGAGGAGAGCTGCTCTGTAAACCTTTTTTTTTTTTAAATTAAAAGATCATTTTATTGGGGGCTCTTAAGCAATCCATACATCAATTGTATCAAGCATATTTGTACATACATTTGCCATCATTATTGTCTAAACATTTACTTTTTAAAAAAATCAATTTATTGGGGCTCATAAAATTCATCACAATACATAGATCAATTGTGTAGAGCACATCTATACATTTGTTGCCCTCATCATTCCCAAAATTCACTTGCCTCTTGGGTTCCCAGAATCAGCTCATTTTCCTTTTTTCCCTAAACATTTACTTTTTATTGAGCCCTTGGTATCAGCTCCTCTTTTGTCCCTCCCTCAACCCCCACCCTCATGACCCCTTGATAAATCATAAATTATTATTATTTTCATATCTTACACCGACCGCTGCCTCCCTTCCCCCACGGTTTTGATTGTTGTCCCCTGTTCGTTTATGTTATAAATGTTTATTAAGCCAAGCACAGCTTTAGGCCACGCGAATAAGAAAGACAAGCCGTCTGTTTTCTTGGGGCAATGGGTCACTGGGGGAGACAGATGATAAACACACCCACACTTACAGCAAACACTTTCATACATACGAGGCATGGCTCTCAGTGACTAGCTCTGTATCTAGCCTGTCCCATCTTCATGACAGCTCTACCAGTAGGCTTAGCTTGCCCCCAATGCCGGGTTGGGAAACTGAGGCACATCGATTCATTTGTTCAAAGCTTAAAAAATGGGAAAATATGGGTCCATTGTGCACCAAACCAGGGGTCAGTAAACTACAGTCCACTTGTGGCCAGCTTTTGCAGTGGCCTGTAAGCTCAGAATGGTTTTTACATTTTGAAGTGGTTGAAAAGCTCAAAATCGTATTTTATGACTCCTGGAAATGCCATCAAATTCTGAATGCTAGTGCCCAGAAACTTTCACTGGAGCTTCCCTGCAACCATGAAGGGCAGGGGAGTTGCTACAAAGACTACTGAACAGCTCACAGAGCCTACTGGCCTTGTACACACACAAACGTTTGGTTTAGAACAGTGATCTAAGCCACCCCACTCTCCTGTCTCCCCAAATATGCTGGCCAGCAGCTTCAAGCAGCCCTCATGGTGCAGTGGTTACACATTGGGATGTGACCTGCAAGGTCAGCAGTTCAACACCACTCAGGAGAAAGAAAGAGCTTACAGGCAGAGTTACAGTCTGGGAGACTCAGAGGGGCAGTGCTATACTGTCCGATAGGGTCACTCGGGTCAGCACCCACTCAATGGCAGGGGGCTGCTCGTTCTCTTTTAATGGCTCAAGTGTCATGAAGGAACGAAAGCTTGTCATGCAGTTGGAGACAGGTGCTCGACAGAGTGGTAGAGAGCGCTGTCTTTTTGAAGAGGGGGCGTTTTAGGTGAGAACAGAAAGAATACAGTCGACACGGACCAGGTGGAGGGTGTCTCCAGGCATGAACCCGATACATTTGACAAAACAAAAAGTCCAGGTATTTCCAAGTGTAAGAATGAAGGTGGGGACAGCAGTAGAAAGTGAGGTTGAACGGAAGGCCTTCTGGGCCAGGTGAGCCCTTTGGATTCATTCGAAGAGCCCCAGGCGTCTGTGAAATGCTTTCAGCAGGCGAGGGGGCATCGTTCTGCGGCTGTGTGGAGAACGAATGGGCTTCCTGGAATAATGGAGCTGGAGCAACGGACCAGAGGAAAACTGAGGAAGGCTTAGACCTGGATGGCGCCAGCGTCTGGTTGCCAATGCATGGTTGTCCCTGGAGCCAGAGGGTCTGCACCAAGGGAGATCCGGTCTCGCTCCAACTCAGAAAAGATATACGAGGGTCCCAAGTAAGTCTTACCACTGTCCCGGGCGAGCAGCGGGTTTTCAGGAGCGGGGAGTCAGGGAGGCCAGAAGCTGGCGGACAGAACGGGGAAATGGAGGCGTCAGGAGGTGGGAGGTAGGAAAGCGGACCGTGGGAAAAAGAAGAGGAATGGAAGGGCCGAGAATCACCAGGAGAGC